TCTGAGAAGTGTGGACCATTGGCACAAAGGGAAATTGCGATTTTTTAGAGCAGTAACCACTATTTTGGGCGCCAGAGGCAGAGGATGGAAGGCGGGCGTAGGATGCACCGCCGCGAACGACGGCAGACTTTAGGTTAGGGGAAGAGATGAAACGTGTTTTCTGAGATTTTCCAGTCGGTTGAATTTCACCTTTTCTGAAAACAGGTATATAGGCGCTCCTGTTTTTATCTCAGCCGTCCTTGAAAATCAGCCGTCCTTGAAAATCTCGCCATCGAGGTTATTTTTACATTTTGAATTCACAATCTGTTCGTTTAACAATTTTCAAGGCATTTGTGCAGCTTTCGATCGAAGTTTAGAGAAATGGTTGGCCCTCATTTTTTCCGAACGTCGATACTTTTTCAGCAGCGTTTTTCAATCACAGTTTAGTGTGCGAGACCAAATTTGGTGACGTAGGTCGGTGGAAGAAATTTTAGGTACTAGCTTCGTGTTAATTTGGCTATTTTTCTTTAGATCTGTGCTTTAAACATTGGCGCAATAGAACAAAGATTTTTTGAACTCTTTGTGGTTTTATGTTTTTGGGGATTTTCTAATTTGGCCATAATATCTGAATATTTCGAATTTTCTTGTTTTGTTTTAGATTTAGTTTACCTTTGTGTCTGTACATGGACGAAAAAGCTATTGTTTTATGCATTAGATCTTGGTGGCANAGATCTGTGCTTTAAACATTGGCGCAATAGAACAAAGATTTTTTGAACTCTTTGTGGTTTTATGTTTTTGGGGATTTTCTAATTTGGCCATAATATCTAAATATTTCGATTTTTCTTGTTTTTTTTTTAGATTTAGTTTACCTTTGTGTCTGTACATGGACGAAAAAGCTATTGTTTTATGCATTAGATCTTGGTGGCACAAATTTTCGTGTTATGTGGGTTCAGTTACGTGGTAAAGGAAGTAAGACCAAACAAGAATCCAAGGAGGTCTCAATCCTGCCACATTTGATGGTTGGGTCATCTCATGTGAGTTTGTATATTCACATTACTTGCATTTTTGCAAGTTTTCTAATGCTATCATGGGTTATGGTTAATGAACTGTTTGTTTATTGTTGCTGCCTTGCAAAATTTGTTTCTAAGGAAGAAAAAGGTGAAGAGTTTCATGATTTTCATATCCCCCGGGCTGGCCAAGGGAGCATTACCTTTTTCGTTCTCTGTCAGGCAATTATCATTGGAATCAGGAACTCTCATAAAGTGGTTGAATGGTTTCCTTATAGAAGATGCGGTTAATTACTTTCTCGCATTTGTTTTGTAGTGAGCATGATTTTGACATTATCATGAGGTTTTTGAACATAATGATTTAGATGATTGTGAATGTTATGCATAAAATTCTAATAATTTTTTTGATTTATGTTTTTTTAAGGACAAAACAAGTTTTTTATCAATACGAGAAGGCAGTTGGGGTGGATCTATGGGACTCACACTACGAAGTTGTCTTTTTATTTTCTTATTTTTNTTGTAGTTAGCATGATTTTGACATTATCATGAGGTTTTTGAACATAATGATTTAGATGATTGTGAATGTTATGCATAAAATTCTAATATTTTTTTTGATTTATGTTTTTTTAAGGACAAAACAAGTTTTTTATCAATACCAGAAGGCAGTTGGGGTGGATCTATGGGACTCACACTACGAAGTTGTCTTTTTATTTTCTTATTTTTTGTAACAGTTAATTAATTAATTAACGTGTCTATAAATGTTTGGTAATTATATTCTCTTAGAGAGTAAATAAAATTGATGATTTTCATGGCTTTTTTTGTTGTTGTGGTAAATTTGTGCAGGCGCACTTGCAGAAATTGAAGGAGCTTAACTAAAAAATTAGGAAGGAGATAAGGTCAATAATAAATATTCTAAAATTTTTGGTTAGCTAATTAATTCTTATATATGTATGTTCATTTTTTTTTAAAAAAATAAAAAAAATTATTTGAACTCAACAGGGGAGAGCTTGAATGATCTAGGCTACGAACAAATAGTTATCTTATTGAAGACATTGATAGCTCTCCCAGGCTCATACGAGAATTTTTTTTTTT